CACATAGTTTACGTTTTGTTATTGGTTTTAGAGGATGACATCATATCACCACAGTGCTGGTTTCCTGTGTGTTCTCATTGATTTTACAATCATTTTTAGAGCAGCAACACAACAAAATGTTGAACGCCATTGAGCCGTTTATTACATCATCAAGTGGGGACTATTTGATTACTTCTCAATCAAGACAATGCCTTTGTTTTTGCCATACAACTAATAACACTCACTCTGTTTCAATATAACTATGAGAAGAAGAGCCCAGAATAATTTTAATCACGATCACTATGTTACTGAACACACGGTCATAGTCTTCTGGATAAATACACAACATGTTTGCTCTTCATGGTGTGTTGTACAACAATGCAATGTGCAATTTGTAGCTCTCAAAAAATGACCTCAAAATACAAATTAGTAGACTTATAGAAAATGAAGAATCGATATAATAACGTTCTGTAACAATGCATGTACTTTGCTGCTTTTGTAGAAGATTTGGAAGAAAACGGTTCAAACATTTAGATGCAAAGGGCTACATTTAACATCTTGCTGTTGGAGGGCCAGGTTTAGTGCACAGGCCACTGTTGTGGTTTTTGGTTAGACTCAAGATTCAGACACTTGAATCTTGAGGTTTCTTTTTATACTACTACTATACGCTACTTTATGTCCACAGCTGCCACAGTCCTTCTGGTACTGTGGGAAACATGCTAAAGAGGCTTACATATATTCAGGCCATCTTTTCACAGAGTTTCTCAGGTTTCTTTAATTTGATGGTGTTGAATTGGTTAACAACAGCTTTATATCAGTGAATTGTTTCACAGTTTAAACTATGAGTTTGTCAAATTGCTGTCCAGCACTGATACTTTGGAGATTTGTGTGGATTATGAGTAATTTTAGCCATTAATCCAAATTCCAGACTGTTTATTTGGACCAAGACGTTAACTCTTTATTTCAACCCAGGTCAGCAGCTGACCTGGGTTGTCATTTAGGAACCTTATTTTCTGTGGAAGTTGTTCTCCAGACGTAGAGCCATATTGTAAAATATAAATTACTCTAGATGGGAAAAAAATCTTAGCCTAATTAGCAAAGATTAGCATGCTATTATTAGCATGTTAGCATTTTCTCTCCAGTGACTCTGGACTTAAGTCAGATGGTTGACAGTAAGTCAAGAAATGCTGACAACAAAATGAAAAAAAAAGTTTTTCGAACGCAGCCACATTATGCTAAATATTAGCATTCACACATTTTGGGTGTTTATTTTTTCCGTCGTCCATTTTTTCCCTATTCATAAACTGCAGTAGTTTGATTTTGCAATCAGTTTTAAAGCAGCAACACAGCAAAGTGGTGGCTAGTTTTTGGCTCTTATCACTTTTTAGGTTATGGTCCTCCTTAGATAAAGTCTAATTTATTTATGCGCCCCACATTAGAGATTGGTCTCTTAGCTTCTATTCAGTCTTTTATTC